ACGACGACGACGACGGCTACTGCTACTACTGCTACTTTGTAGGAGTACTAGAAATATCGGAATTCATCGTGATAGCACTGGAAATAGTAATAACCGCAGCATTGGCTTTCATCGTACTAAGAACCGTCTTACAATAGCAATCGATAGCATTTGCAATGCAATTGGCCTGATTGTTGTGTTGCCAATGATGACAACATTGTTGATGATCGTGGCATTGGCTTGAGTGTTGGGACACCTGTGATTGCAGTCGTGCCAGAATCACAGCAGCAGCAGCAGCAGCAGGCGCTGCAGCAACGATGGCACCAGTAACGTTTGTCACGACAGTAGTCTTGTTCGTACCACGAAGTGTAAGACAGCACTAACAGCATGTTTGAGGGCATCTTCGCATATCGGGTCTGCCTCGAACATGGCTGCAGTCTGCATGGGTTTGGCGAGCTCGCGCTGAACATGTCAGCTGTACACCCTAACAGCCTGATCTCTGACGAACCCAGCTCCAGTCAAGTCGCAAAGCTCCACATCACCAATGCTCGGGCAGTTTTGCTTCACTGACGGATGCCCAGCCAGAAACTTGCCGCCGGTAGAACTGACATGCAATCAAGAAGCACCAAGACTTGGAACAGGGTTTTGGCGCTGGTCGTTTTTTGCTTCAGGGTCGGGGTATTGGGTGTGGGGTCTAGTGTTGAACTTTCAAGACCAAGAACCAAGCATCAACACCCCTGCATCGGAAACCCAAGGGAGAGTGACCCGGAAAGCCAGCAGTAAGCAGCCCTTAAAACTTGAACCCTCAACGCATCCCGTTGCTCGACACTTCAGCAAGAAGTCCAGCCATTTCAGGGATTTATGACAGTAACTATCAAGTGCTTTGACGTTTCGCGGGTTCATGGATGCGGGCTTGTCGAAGGAAGCTATGGATCCAAGGGCCTGGAACTAGGGGCACACAAATTTCAACGTGGATTGGAGTAATAATAGTCAGTAGGGACTGGACATGTTGGCGGTTGGCTCAGTTGGAGCCTTCGCTGCTTTACATCTGTAAGCCCATGTGCTCCCGGTCGTCCAAAATATATCGGTATCGTTGCGACAGCTTGCACTCCACGGCTGGGTAGTTTCTGGGGCAGAGAGCGTCGGCTGATGGCCACATGTTTTTTGAAGGATCGTCCGGCTGGACCGGACGCACACATGCAGAGGCTTCCAGGCCTGTAGAAGGCTTCAGAAGCGGCCCCACACCACTGTTCCGCCCAGGACTTAGGACGACCATGTGAAAGTAAGTGCTCAAGGACGCTACTCTTGCGTGACATTTCAATGCTGCGCCGCCCGACCTCCGAGCACCAATCGTTCCCCGTCCTCGAAACGGCGGCGATACGTGAAGTCAAGCCCCTACTGTAGAGGCAACAGCATCAGGTTGCCCTAGGACTAGCAAAGCGAGTACGTCTTATACATAGACATGTGTGTGCTGGCGTGCACTTGTCGAGGCCATACTCTAGATTCTAGATCTTCACCTAAAACGTTCGCCACGAATGTGCAATTGCAAAGCAGCATGCATGCGCGAAGGCCAGGAATCGGAACAGAAACATCGCGAACATGCTCAGCACATGATAATAATTGGCACCTTTCACTTCTTTCGGTGCGGCTGGAGCCTTCCACCTAACTCGGCAGCAATGCTTCCATGACAAAGACCACTATTATTCACAGCCTGAACCGTTTTCATTGTGAGTTCTGCAGCCCTCTATCTAAAGACCGTAGATCCATCCCTAAGACAACGGCCAGTTCTGGAGCCAGCTCTGCATGTTATCGCGAGATCGGTGAGTCGTGCTGACGCTGATCAGGGAGCCGAGACGTGACTAGCGTGTTGTAGGCCATAGCATCGTCGCTTCCAGAGGTCATATTGGTGTGAGTCTGGATAATCCTAGAAGGAGAGTATTTCAGACCACCCTCCCACCCCCTCCGCCATCCTCCCTCCCACCCTCTCCCACCCTCTCCCACCCTCTCCCACCGTCTCCCACCCTCATCCTCCCCCTCCCTCCCCACCTTCCCTCCCACCCTCTCACCTTCCCCTGCCCACACTCCCACCCTCCCATCCTCTCACCTTCCCCGAGAGCAGTTCGGTAGCAGGACTGCCATCAACGTGAAGTGTTTGCGAAGGAAAAGTCTGGGCTCCTGTAGCAGGACCAAACTGCAAGCAGCTTATCAGCTTTATAAATAACATGAGACGGAATCAAACCAGTGCCATGCAGATGTGGTGGACAAAAAATGCGGGCTGGCTTGCTACAAACCTTCCGTTTTTTGAGCCCATCAGGGAGGCTAACATGCACCAAGAAGCACTGAATTTGTGTTTCTTACTGTGCTACGTCTCTTTCAGATTTGTGTCTTCTGGCCGCATCGTGGTGACTTTGGCCTACCTCTGCAAACCCCGAACAGACTCCTAGATCTTCAACATGAAAGTCCTGATCACAAATGCCGGGGCATCTTGACCGAGCTTGCACGTGCGACTTTCGTGCTATCGTGGGAGCATATTCACTGTAAAACCATCCTTTTCGTATCGTTCGGATGCGCTGTCGAAGCTGGAAACTCTTGATTGACGGTTTGGGGATTCAGGGTTGAGCTTCAGCTTCGACAATACAAAATACAGGCCCCTCTAGAGTGTACGGGCAGTTCAAGAAGGTGCGACCGGTACCTTCTGTGATGCGAGACCTCCGCTCGCGCCCAGTGGCCTCGCTGCTGGAGAGGCAAAGTGCTAGGGGCCTGGGCAAGGGTGTTCCAGGTTCAAGGGTCCAGGTGCACGGCACAAGATGTTGTGACTAAGATAACAGCACGCATGGAAACATGTCCTGTTTGCGGGTCTGAGGTCATTCTGCATCGGGATCATAAGAACACTGAGGCCATAAAAAGGTTCTACAGACTGAGATTGAAACTTCCCAGAAGCTGAAGTCCCCAATCTTCGGCAAACGCTTATGGTTGAAAGCCCGAAGCAAGCAGCCCGAAATCGCAGGGGGGCTATGCCTCGTGGGCGCAAGCAAGATTGGCCCTATTGGATCCCTAAGAAGCACAAGCAAGGTAACCTGATGACTAAATGTCGGTCATGGCATGTCATGCAACATTTCCGAGTGCAGCGTAGAAAACTGTAAGGTGCTGTGATGTGCTGCAAGGCTGTGCGCTTAAGAGATCTGTTGTTGTGCAATCTTGGATGCTCATTGAACTGCACGTAGTCAAACGAATCATACAAAGTCTGGTACAGTGAACTTCAATGTGAAAGCCATTATACCAATCCAGCACATATGAAAGTATCAGCACGTCATCACGTCGTGAAGCAGAACAGTTCAGAAGAGAAGACAGAGTGGGGATCAATGCATATCGGCTTGACACGGGTTTGTGCAATACACGCACACACACACACACAGACACATAGATTATATTACATCATACATCAGATGGAGCTATATTACACTTTACTCTCCTGTTAAATATTTTTCTACAGTTGTATGTTCGTATATTGCAGTATATTATTGTAGGAGATGTTTTAGTAGAGTACAGTACCGTACAGTACAATCTAGTATTATAGTATATATATACACACTAAATTGTAGCATAGTTCGTACGGTGTGGTATGGTATTCTATAGTCCAGTCTGGTATAGCATAGTATAGTAAATTATAGTATAGTGTAGCATGGTATAGTGTATAGTGTATGGTGTATGGTGTCTAGTATATAGTGTATAGTACAAAGTAGATAGTATATAATATACACTAGATAGAAAATAGTGGTCTCTTCCATTCCATTCCATTCCATTCTAGTATAGTATAACCTAGTGTCGTATAACATAGTCTGATATAGCATATTATTGTCCTACTTCCATTCTATTCTGTTTTACTCTATTCTACTATAGTATAATATAGTGCAGTAAAGTGTAGCATGGTATAGTATAGTATGGTACAGTAGATTACAGTACATATTGCAGAGTATAGTATAGTGCTGTATAGTTTTCCGTTCTGTTCTGTTCCACTTTTGCTATGTTATATTCCGGTAAGTTATACTATGTTATGTTATATCATATGGCACCAACAGACAGACAGAGAAAGACAGACAGACAGACCGACGGACGGACGGACGGACGGACGGACGGACGGACGGACGGACAGACAGACAGACAGACAGACAGAGAGACAGAGAGACATAGACATGCGCACACAGAGATGCACGTAGGAAACCGAAGCCAGAACTCACACC